CCGATTCCTTTAATAGCAGATCACTTCAGGAGGGAGAACAAGTACCAAGTTCAGAAAAATCAATGCTTTTGGATTTCAGTCAGCACTCTTCTGGTTTATAGTAATGCTCAACGCCTTACAAGAGAGTCAGAAAACATCAGGGAAGGAAAATGGGAAGGGCTGCTGCAGTTACTGCCATAACCAGTCAACCATCTTTGCTTTTTGATCCTTTGGGGAAAAGGATCAACTCCGGGGAGAGATAAGAAGGCAAACCGACAAGGCTGCAAACACACTCCTCTCAGAGTGGGAAATACTCACAGATCCAACTATTGTCTGATGAGCACATCAGCCACAACATTCATCTTCTCTGGAATACGAAATGAGAAAACTGACAGCACATTCTCCTCTGTCCAATTTATTAGAAAGAACCCATCTTGAAAAGTTATTGATCCTATAATACACTAACAACTGAAGGAGGAACACAAGAAGAGATCCATTAGGACAGGCACCTGCTATTGTATGTATGGCCTCACCTTTCTTCACAGGTTTTCCTAACGAGTAGTATTCAGAAAACACTGCTTGAATGGCACAATAACCCTTCCTTGACATCTTTCCTAGTATAGCAGGCGTCTTCTCCTAAAAGCCAAAGTACATGAGCTGCCCATGGCACGAGGAAGCCTTCCAGTCCCATCTATACTACTCATTGGGCTCTCCTGGGTATGTCCAGTGGATAACCAGTTACTCCACTAGCTTTACTACTCTGCACAATGCAAACTTACTACGATCAATATAGCTTGCAATGGTAACACTCAACGCAAAGTGACTCGTATGCCAGTACAGTGGTGTTATTCTGTATGGGTAAAAGCTTACATCCAGTGACACAATAGACAACTGCACTAACTAAGTTCACGTCTAGACAAAGTTCCTAGGTTGAGGAAGGTGATTCTCCACCTCTGCTCTGCCCTTGTGAGACCCTACCTGGAGTACTGCGTTCAGCACTGGGGTCCCCAGCACAAGAACGACATGGACCTGTTAGAGCGGGACCAGAGAAGGGCCATGAAAATGGTCTGAGGGCTGGAGCACTGCTGGTATGGAGAAAGGCTGAGAGAGTTGGGGTTGTTCAGCCTGGAGAAGAAAATGCGCCAGAAAGACCTTATTGTGGCCTTTCAGTGCTTAAAGGGGGGTTATTAGAAAGACAGAGAAAGACTATCATGGCCTGTAGTGACAGGACAAGAGGCAACAGTTTTAAACTGAAAGAGGGAACATTTGATTGGACATAAGAAATTTTTTGTTGTTGTTGTTGCAGTGAGGGTGGTGAGGCACTGGAACAGCCTGTCCAGAGAAGCTGCAGATGCCCCTTCATTGCAAGTGTTCAAGGTCAGGTTGGATGGGGCTTTGAGGAACCTGATCCAGTGAAAGATCTCCCTGCCCATGGCGAGGGGGGTGGACTAGATGGTCTTTAAAGGTCCCTTCCAACCCAAATACGATTCTATGATTCTAATATTAAATTCTTGTTTGGGCACAAGTGTACCGATCATATTTGCCTTGTCCAGCTGTTTTCCTTCCAAAAGGTTTCTTCTATTGGCAATTCCAGATTTAAAGCCATAGTGACTACCCTAATGTCAAAACAGTCAATGCAATGTCTTTAGTTTCTCAAGCTCTGATCCTGGTGAGAAAGAGGTGTTTTTCCTCTCAAGAGGGTTATTCTTCCTCACAGCACCTGCTGAAAGAATTTCAGTTCACATCTTTCAGAACATCTGAAACACCCTATACACCCTCCCCATTATTTTCTGTCATTTGGGGTAGCACTGGACTTTATTTTATCAATTTCAGAGCACACTACTAGTTAAAACAAGACAGTTCTGGAGCAGCTCATACTTTTTTGGGGGGGGAATAACTTAGCTATGCAGACAAAGCCCTTCTTCCTTGTTTCTTTTCCATGACCCTCAGGCTCTTTCTTGCCTTCAGCAACAGAGATACTTAAGTCAGTTTAATAGTTCTCATACCCATCTCGCTTTTGTGGTCCTGCCCTACTCCTGCGTTTGTGCCAAAACAGCAGTGTGTGTGTGGTCACAGAATGAACAAGATCAACGAAAAAGTCTGGTTAAGACAGAATTTTTGCAGGGTTTTTTTTTTTCCAAGCAGATCAAATTCCCAACTTATTACATGACCCAGATGCACGCACAGCTATCACAGCCAGGGTACAAAGATGAAGCTGCTTAATATTAGCACCGTAAATGAACTGCTGTAAGGAGAAGTGGGGATGTTTATCATTATTTTCCTAGCAACGTTCTGCTGCCCAAACCAGTATTATTTCACAGACAACTATCAGCAAAATCTATTATAAACTTTGTCCATATAGATCCTTTTTTAAGCTGAGAAATTCTCTACAGACAACAATTATGTGAATACCATTACTCCCTTAAGATCATGCTCCAGTTCACTGCAGCCAGCAAATCTTTCACTCCAAAGGGAAGGGCTAGAGAAATCAGCATGTGCACTGTGTCAAAGATACAAGCCACTGCAAGGAAGAAATGTGGCTTTAAGAGTGGATTGGAAAACCCATTTTGGTAAAGCAATTAGGTAAGTGGTGATGGTAGACCGCTAAATTAAGCTCTGTTCTCACAAATGTTGCCTTCTCGTTTAATCCAATGCTATAAAAAGTAAGCACGCTGCAGTAGTGCTGTGCAGACGTCAAACTGCCCTAGCTCACAACAATTCTGGGGCTCACAAGAGCTGTAGCATTTATTGACTCTGAATTAGGGCAGAGAACCACCAAATAACACAACAAAGGGGATCACAGATTAAGGCAACACTGGTGAATGATGCCCCAAGTTAGACTGCCTGATCAAACACAGAGGAGCACGAGGCTCACGAGATATGGGATTAAGTCTTTTGGAAACTGTATCAAATAAAAGCAAAATGACAGTCAGAACTGTTTGGCAGGGAGGGGCAACACAAGGGGACAAAATTCAGGAAAAGTTCCCAAAAGAAGCATTTTTTTTTTTTTTAATAGAGGACACTCCTTTGCTTCTTGCTAGAAGTCACTACAAGAAAATACTTGCCTTTATATAAAAGGACCATTACTTTTGTTAAGGCTGTGACTACTTCAGCAGACACAATTCTAGCCACCACCATCATGCTAAATGGTAGCTACCAACATCTTCCAAAGGGGCAGTATATCTACTCTTCAGAAGTTCTCTCTGGACTCAACAGGGAGGAAAAGTGCCATAGAATGAAAGCGTACCAGCTCAAAGGCACTCCTGAAGACATCACGGAAATTACCTTGTGACTACGAGAGTAACCGTCACTCTGAATCTAGGAACGCCCACGAGGATGTGCAAGAGAAAAGAGCAGGAAAGGCGACAGCAGTGAATCCTCCCTGTTCAGCCCTCTCTGAACGCCATTAGCAGAAACACAAACAGTTGTTCCACACCACTGATCAAGCTCTGCTGGCTGATTCCATGCTGAGACAGATTTACTCACAGGTTACCCTCCTGCTGCTCACAACGCAACACTTCACTGTCTGTACCCACCCCACCTTACAGTTCAGCCACACCAGGCTGACCAGGAGGTAAGGATTTGTCAGGCAGGAAAGGAGGCTAATTCCACACTGCCCAACAGTTCAGCCACACCAGGCTGACCAGGAGATAAGGATTTGTCAGGCAGGAAAGCAGGCTAATTCCACACTGCCCTGCTGATTACTCAGTTAGTACCTGGCTCATAGTACTGACAAGTTGGACCTTATTAAGGTCCACATATTTTGGTAGAGCAGCAGACACGGTATCGGGCACTGACCTGTCTTCACCACCAAAGCACACCATCCTGCTAGGCCTACATTAAGAACAACGTGCAGCTAAAGAATGCAACAGCATCCATCCCAAACTGCCACTTCAGGCCACTTCAAGAAGTAGGGACCTCTTTTTTAGCTATTTTTATTCCAAATCAGGTTGACCTTAAGAAATTCCTCCCCTTGAAGTGAGCGTGTTTTTCTAAGTGGCTTTCCACAAACTTTTTTATTATTATCATTGCAAGCATCTGATTGTGTGAGAAACACACCAAGAAGGTTGCTTTCTTTAAGAAATACTTCTCAAAAATGGCACAGAATACATGGGTAGCAGAAAGATTCAACAACAACAAAATTTAGCAGCTTCACCAATTTCCACCTCCCTCTTTAAAATTACTAACTTTAAAAATTACTAGCCAGGCAAAAAAAAAAAAAGTTTAAATTCTTACAGAAGCCTATTTTTTTTTTTTAAAGAAAGAATTAAAGACATTGTAAAATGAAACGAAGGCAATAATACACCCAATTGGAAAAACAAAAATAACTGGTGAAGCAACTACTATACAGGGAATTCAGCAAAACTAAAACTCTGGTGAGCTACTACAGAACTCTTACAATGATGAGCGTAGAAGAAGGGATATATGTAATATACATGTAGGGTATATGTAATATAGTTTTCATCTCTATTTACCTTGTTGTTTCTTAAGTCTACCAATCACGATTTCAATCACTCCAACAATGTATTTCTTGAACAAAGATGGTATATTTGTATAAATTAAGTTCTAAATGGTGATTCTCATGCCTAAGTAGCAAAGTTTAAGAATGGCAGAAACTATGCCCTATCTTTTGTATAGCCACACATGTTTATAAAATATTTTTAAGATGCATTGCAGGTGCCTTTTTCAGCAATTTGCAGGGGAGAAAGCTGTGGATGGAAAGAACAATGACACACTAGGGAGAAAAAAACATGTAATTTTTACTTAGACGAATAATAAGCAAAAGTATTCAAGACACAATAACTGAAGGCACTGGTGGAGAACACACGCATTTTTCTTCCATATAAGATTTCTCTTCTCTCTGGCTGAAGGCAGCATCCAAATTGCTTTTGCTTTTTAAGCCACAGCCATTTGCATATTTTGGGGAGGAGGGGTTTGTTTTTAAAGACAGATTTGATACACTCAGCATGCACCACAATCCAAACAATAGGACACAAAACCACTCCTTTGTGTAAACATACCTTTAACAGTTTTGACAAAAACTTGTTTCTCTTTACTAGGGTCTTTTTCTTCTATTAGAATCCCATGGAAAATGCGCCCAAAAGTGCCTATGAAGAGAACATACAATCAGCAAATACTATGTGGTTAAAATACACTGAAAACATTAACAGAATTTAATACCTATTAAGAAAACACTACCTTACAATGTATCAGCCACAGTAGAAAGTTAGGAACAATAGCAGTTATAGCATAAGTCCCAAATGCCCTATTAAGTCAACAATGCATAACCCAACCACCTCTCCAGTACTAGGTGGATTCAGAACTATATGCAGTAAATGCTGAAATTTTTAGGTAACTAAAGCTTAGGGGGACAAGCATGAGAGTGAACTAAAGGTAGCAGCAGAATGCAGCTAAATTAAGTATCAATACTGATGATGGGTTTATTTGTGGCAGATCAGCTGTTGTCAACTGTCTGCACTAAAAACTCCAGGTCTATCCTTTTCTCATCCAGCCAGTCCCGGATTTTCCAGTCAAAACAGTTCTCAAAGATGAAATTTTTTTGGAAATGTTTACAGGGAAATACTGGTTTCAGCCAACTAGCACACATGGAACAGTTTGAAAAAAACAGTATCACATTATTCAAATGTTTCACCTCAGCTGGAAGGTTTTGGGTTTGTTTGGGGTTTTTTTCCAGCCTCTCCAAACTTTTTCCATTCACAAAATTTTAACGATGCTATTTGCAAGAAGAGGAGCTACACTGAACAGCTGGAGTAAGAACAATTACAGCGTGGTAACGCACACAGAATTAACTTTTTATACAACTCAGGTTGGCAATGCTTTTCTGTCACACTATTACCGTGGCACTAATGCGTGTATCATCTTCATGCAGTCTATTCATATGTTACCTCCCTTTCCCATTGATTTGTCCCGACTGATTAGATTGAAAGATCTTTGACTGTCTTAGCCTGGTTGTACATCTTCTGGCATGAAGTGTGGGTCTCATTTGGCTTCTAAATACTTACCAGGGACAGCACAACATTTCTCCCACCTGCCCTGGGATTACTGTTAACGTCTGCTCCATTTGCTAAAGCATAGCTATTCCATTAGAAACTTTTTTTAAAGATGCCTACGTTTTCATCTTACATCTAGTACAATATGAGCCTGAAGCAGGTTCTGAAGCAGGTGCTGCGCAAGCCCAGCAATAAAAAAAGGCCCCTACGGATCCCTCGTCCTTTGCGCACTCTCAGACCTGGTGCCTTGCGTTTTCCAACTGGTTATACCACAGCAGAACCATAATATCCTAAATTATTGAAATGTTACAGCAGGTTAAGTTATGGAAGCTACTTGACGTTTATAATGAATCTCTGGCCAAATCCTGTAAAATATGTTTAAGTTCCATTGGCAGCACTTAGGAATTCTTGAACATTTTATTCAGATATTTCTATTATTCACTTCTCCTCTGAAGTTTTTTTGTTCTTAGATGACAGAGGCTCAACTCTGCTACGATCATGAACGAAAACTGATGATGGTTCATCAGGATCTGTCTTCTAGTCCTCTGACTAACTTTTGAAGGTTCTGACAGACTCAAATAATAAGTGGAGTTCAAGAAACAAGATCCCAGTATTAACTGGGTCCACACTGCATTCAACAACCATTTAAGCTGCATTTCGTGGAACAGGGCAGCTCTGTCACTCGGTGCTAAGCATCCAAAGCGTAGGTGCAGCACTGAGTCGCTTCTAGTCATCGGATGACTCCTAACATCACAGCTACAGGCAACAGACACTACAAAGGAACATAAAGCACGTCCCACATGCAAAGGAAGCTTTCTGCAGAACCAAAATTAAAGTTGAGCACAAAGCTACCTCCTTAGAGACTTAGAGGCATACATTAAATGGGGAGTGTTAGCATCCTCCCATTGTTTTTCAGACAGCAGTGCAAAGCATTTTGCAGTTCTGTCTCCAAAGGATGAGTATCTCGGATCTTTAGCTTTGGAAAGTTTGATGTCTCATGAGGCTCAGAGAACACAGACTTGAAGTTGCAGCAATAAAGATTAATGGTTAAAAAAAACCACCTAAACATTTACGCCTATTTCCCAAATTGAATATCAACAAGGAGCAATTAATGTTGTACATGAACACTTCCAGAGTAAACATTAAACAAGAGAAAATAATCAGGTAATCTCTAAATTTGTCACATCAGAGCTGTAAACGTTGCATCTGCTGATTAGATTTCCAAATCAGAAGCTATCCAATTGAGACGACGAGTTTAGACAACTGAGGTTTTTGTGGGCTTTGGGATTTTCTCATTTTTTTCTTTGTTTTTTAAAGAGCTCTCCTGCAGTAACTTACAAAAGTGAGTTACTTTGTCACCTACAGCCCCAACTGATTACCTCATTCCTCAGCCATCTAACCCTTTCTTTTATTTAAATGACCAGATTATTAAGACAGACAAGCTGAATGATTTACTGAGCACGATTAGTGGCTCCCCGATTCTAATGAATTCTGGAAACTGCTTTCCCCACCCCTCACGCCCCAAATGCAAACATCATTCATCATTCTTCTCTTCCACCAAAGTTAAGAAGATCGGAAATGTCATCCATGATTAATTTCAGAAAAATCTAGCTATAAAAATATATATCTATATACATCATGTTACAGCCAATAAGTGTCTGAGTCCTGTAAATACCTTCTTGGAGCACATCTTTTAGAGTTATCCTTTCCCTGGAGATGGCTATGTCCTTCACTTTAGCTTTTGCTTCCATTAGAGTGACACTTTTAAGATCATTCTTCTCGATCCGTAATGTAGGATAACCTGAGGAGCCAGCAGAGCCAAACAAACCAATATAAATACCCTTATAAAGAGAACACAAGCACATTGCTTCACCTCAGCACCACCTACAGGTATAAAGACATGCAAGCAGCATGTATTTAAAAAGATTATGTATTAATCTTAAAAAGATTATAGTATTGAACCACAAAAAACACAAGAGAAGTCACGTGAATACAATCACCTGCAGGAAAAAAAAAATCACAGAGAAATTCTATATAGTGTCATGCGATCAAATCTCATTAACACCAAGTAAAGAAGACTCCTTACATACTGAAGCTGATTATCACAACACTGCACTTCCCTGACAGCAATAGTAACGGTAATAGCAATAATAATAGTAAGATCAGTTGTTCTCCAGGTACCCAGCCCCCTGAGCTGGAAGACAGGGGAGAGCGGAATGAAGCCTCCATAATCCAACGAGAAATGGTCCGCGACCTGCTACACCACTTGGACACACACAGGTCCATGGGGCTGGATGGGATCCACCCAAGGGTGCTGAGGGAGCTGGCAGAAGTGCTCACCGAGCCACTTTCCATCATTGACCAGCAGTCCTGGCGGTTAGCCAGGGAGGTCAGCAAATGTGACGCCCATCTACAAGGAGGGCTGGAAGGAGGATCCAGGGAACTACAGGCCTGTCAGCCTGACCTCGGTGCCAGGGAAGGTCATGGTGCAAATCATCCTGAGTGCCATCACGCGGCACATACAGGATAACCAGGTGATCAGGCCCAATCAGCATTAGTTCATGAAAGGCAGGTCCTGCTTGACTGACTTGATCTCCTTCTATGACAAGGTGACCCACTTAGTGGATGAGGGAAAGGCTGTGGATTTTGTCTACCTAGACTTTAGTAAAGCCTTTGACACCATTTCTCACAGCCTTCTCCTGGAGAAACTGGCTGATCATGGCTTTGACAGGTAAAAAAATTTTACTGGGTAAAAAAAATTGTCTGGATTGCCAGGCCCAAAGAGTGGTGGTGAATGGAGTTAAATCCAGTTGGCGGCCGGTCACAAGTGGACCACCAGGACTCAGTATCAGGGTCAGTTCTGTTTAATGTTTTTATCAATGGTCTGGATGAGGAGATCAAGTGCACCCTCA